TGAGAAGACAATGTACCTCCTCTAAAATAAACCCTGGTGAGAGTAGTCAGTGTCACTGAAGGAGCGGATGGTAAGGATCGTGTGTCACAAATTAAAACAACACGTGGTATTTTTAAACGTGCTGTACTTAATTTGTGTCCCTTGCCGTTCAATGGCAATCAGTCTGATCTTTTTTTATTTTTTTTATTAGACATAAAAGACCGCGGCAGCTCTGGCCATTGGTCTGTTAGTAAATTACATTATTATTATTATTATTATTACAATTTTTGCATAACATTTATACATATTATATATATTATAATACTTTATATAAAGTGGATTTTTTTAAGAAAATAAGTAATTTTTGAATTGCGGTTGGTTCAGGACTGAGGATTTCGTATAGGTGAGTGGTTCCGAGGGTTTCCATACGATCTTATTGGTTTTTTCTGCACTCAGTGAAAATGCGTTTGACGTGAGTTGGACACCGCAGATGGTGCAGTTTGGTGGATCCTCTTTTATCATAAGGTGTCGGTGGGTACATGAAGTATGCCCTATTCTTAGGCGCTTTATAATTGTTTCTTGTCTTCTAGGGCAGCCGGGAGGGGGAGGCCGTGGTATTATTGATTTTTTTATTTCGTTGAGTTTCGTTGTTTGATTTGACCAATATTGTGGCCATCTTTCGATTGTGTGATTTTTGATAAATTTTCTTGCGTCGGTATATGAGAAATCTGGTATTGTGATAGCATTAGATGACGTGTGCGAGAGTTTGGCGGCCTAGTCTGCTTTTTCGTTGCCTGCTATATTGCTATGCCCAGGAATCCACATGAACGATATGTGTTTACCAGCAGACCGTGCAATGTGACAGGCGTTCTGATTATTTGTTGCTATGTCAGTAGGGTAGGTTGTATTTTTAAGGCTTATTAATGCACTAAGAGAGTCATTTCGTATAATACTTAGTTTGTCATCGACGTTTTGTGTGAAATATTTGATGTCTTCTAGTATTGCTATGGCTTCAGCTGTGTATATTGAACATTTGTCAGATAGTTTGAATTGAATTTCGATGGCGCCACATATGATTGCAGATCCAACTCTTTGATCTGTTATAGAAGCGTCAGTGTAAATCTGTGTGTGGGGTTCGGCTTTAGCTATGATTTCATTGAAGTGGTGTTTATATATTTTAGGATTTGTGTCCTTTTTTGGTAGGTGATGGAGATCGAGGTTGTTGTCTAGAGAAATTGTCCAAGGTGGCTGAAGACTAATAGTAGATGGTATGATATGGTTTAGGTCAAATTTATCTTGTAGATTTTTAAATATCCTTAAGGGAGATGAGGAGTATCCTTGTGAGGATCTATATACTCTGGCTGCCTGTAAAGTTTTCTGCTCTGCCCATCTCCGTGATAGGGAGGGTATTCCTGCTATATTGGATATGCTGTCAATGGGACTGGAACGGAATGCTCCTATTGCAAGTCGCATACCTGAGTTATGGAGTGTTTCAAGTTTTTTTAAGTGCCGATGTTTTGCTGAAGAAAAAAGGGGTGATCCATAATCTAATTTGGCCAAGATGAGAGCTTTGTGGATCTTGATAAGTACCGAGGAATGGGCTCCCCATGATTTGTGGGATAACGTTTTAATTATATTAAGTCGATTGGCGCAGGCTTGTTTTAGTTGTAGAATGTGGGGTGTCCAGGTACATTTTGAGTCAAATGTTATACCGAGGATTTTGATATTTTTATCGTTTTTGATTGTATGTTTGTCCATACTAATTGACATTTTATTTTTGTTTTTGTTGTTGAATATAATAAGTTTGGTTTTTTCAGCTGAAAATCTAAACCCAGATTTATTTGACCATTTAATTAGTTCAACTGTAGCGTCTTGAAGTATTTGTTTTATTGTTATAAGGCTGCTGCTCCGACATATTATGGAGAAATCATCAGCATATAGCATGGGGATGATAGGCTTAGGTATTTGTTTGGAGATGTCATTTATAGCTAGCAGAAAAAGTGTTACTGAAATTGAAGAACCCTGGGGGACTCCATTTTCTTGTATATAGATATCAGATAAGCAGTTTGATGATTTGTCTTAAAAGGAACGTTCGAGTAATAGGTTTTGGATGAAATTGAGTAGGTTCCCTTTGCATATTATTTTGTTCAGTATGTGCATTATTCTGGGCCTCCAGGTGGTGTCATAGGCCTTGGCAATGTCGAAACTAATCAATTCAAACCTAAACTTTGTTTGTTGTTCATAGCAATTTCGATTTCATTTTTGATACTTAGAAGATTGTTTAGTGTACTTCTATTTTGTCGAAATTCGTTTTGTTCAGGGTAGATATATTTTATTTTTTCGAGGAACCAAATGAGTCGGCGATTAATGATTTTTTCTAGTAGCTTACAAAGTGCGCTAAGTAAGTGATGGGGCGATAGCTTTCGGTGAGATATTTATTTTTATTAGGCTTGAGGATTGGGATAACATATCCATGTCTCCAGTATTTTGGGAATACGTTATAATTCCATATAGTATTGAAAATGTCCAGTAGGTGTTTGAGGCCGTTTAGAGGTAGATTTTGAATGAAAACATAAGGGATACCATCTGGTCCTGGACTTTTGCTTTTATTGGTTCTTAATACCATTTCTAATTCTTCCATGGTTATTGGGGAGTTAATTAGGGTTTGTGTAGTATCATTTGGATCGATTGTGTTTAGAGGAGAGTTATATCGATGGTAATTAATTAGGAATTCGTCGTCATAGTTGGAAGTACATGAGTTTTTTTGAAAGAATTTTCCAATAGAATTTACTACTTCCTTTGGTGTCGTTATAAGTTCTGAGTTAGATAAAAGTTGTATGTTGCTTTGTCGATTGGTTCCTTTGAGAGATTTAATTTTACTCCAAACTACTGAGGGATCGGTCTGGTTGTCAAGGCTTGATGTGTAAGCTTTCCAAGATGCGGTTTTACTGAGTTTGACTAAAAATCTGGTGCGCGCTCTATGGCGTTTTAAATTAATGAAATCGTTTGAATTGTGTGTGTTTTGATATTTTTTGAGGGATTTGTTTTTATTTATGATAGACATTTTGATTTCATCGTTCCACCATGGGACACGAGGTCTTTTTAATTTGTTGTTGGCTATTCCTATGGACATTTTTGCAGTTATGGTAATGAGATTTGAGAATTGATTTACGTCCTCATCGATGTAATCTTTGGAAGGGGGTTTGAGTGTCAATATATTGTTTTCAATTAGAGATTTGAAGAGGTTCCAGTTGGCTTCTTTAACTTTCCATCTTAGAGGATAGTATGAGTCATTTTTGTTTGACGGGTCGGTGAAGGTTATTTGGATGGGAATGTGGTCGCTGCTGTATATATCTGGTAGAACTTTCCATTCGAGTTTGAGTGCAAGGGCAGTGTTAGAGATAGAACGTCAATAGCGGAAAATTTCCCATTTGAGCAGCCTGATCTTTAATAAATTAAAAAGGTTTATTTTGTTGTTTGTATTCTTGCATTAATTTATACTTCATAATTTATTATTATTCTATGAAAAAAATATACATTTGTATAATCGTTTGTTGAATTTAGTATTTTTATATTTTATATTTGTATGTTCAATGTAATTTTATATGCATTTATATGTGCGCTTATAACTAATGAATTTAAAATTGTTTTTTTTTTTTGCGTATCAGATGAATTCGTCGCTTTGTGGTGGTCTAATTGTTATAAGTAATTTAATGTTAAATTATTCTTATTGTTTTGATTTTGTTGTATAATATGGTTGAACAATTTTTTGTTGATGTTTTTCAATGGTGGGCGGCATATTGTGTATTGAGTAGTGATAAGCTTTACGATTGTAATATAGCAGTAATACCGGTTTTCACCCGCCCCAGTTATCATGTAACACACGCGCGAGTGCCCAATTATAATGTAAGTTTCATCAATAAAGTTTTCTTAAAATTAATTGTGGTGTTGATTATTTCACTAAGTATTCACTTTTTCTCAGCTCTCACCGAACCGATTTCTTTAGACAATACATCAAAAGATCACAAATTATATCTAATTGAAGACATAGTTTTTAAAAGTTGAAAAAACCGAAAAACCGAACAATGTTCATCATATCAGCTAACATATTTTTAAAATGAATCATTTACTCTAGGATTATATTTTTAATATTATAAATATTTAAATCAATATTTTGTATATTTTCATTTTTTATAATATAAAGATATAAATTTTTGGAATATTTAATAGTATTGCTATTACATGATTTATACTTAGCATTAGAAAAATCGGCATTGTTTAAATCTGAAAGGTTGAGTTTTAGGTCATTATTTCCAAAATTCAAAGCTTTTTTTGATATTCACTTGCCAAATGTAAAATAAGAACAATGAATACATAATTTAATTTTGAAGTTGTTTTTGTTCACAGCAAGGTATTTTGATGACAAAAGTCCTGTTGGAATTTTTTCTTTTTCCAAATCAATTTTTTTATATTCAATATTTGTTGATAACACAGTGATAAGTAGTCAGATGACAATAATAGATAGAGGTGATAGGGGGGTTGGAAAGAGCCGAGACATTTTTAAAATTTTGCCAGCTGGCCCAGCGTTGAAAGGATTGAAGATGGCAAACCTGTTTGTATAACTGTGTATGGTAGTAAGGCACATTGTTGTGAGTTTATAAATACACCAACTGGCAATACAGATAGCATATCTATTGATAAAGTCAAAATTGACATTACATGCTCTGCATCTGTGACGGTGACATTATATAAAACCATTTAGCCACTTGTATTTGTAATCCCTCATAGACTGTTGTCAATCAGATAACTTGATTTTATTTTTTCTATTGTTCTGGGCCATAGAGTTATCTGTATTCTTATAGTCTATGATGATAGTATATAGAGAGAGATAACAATTAAATATATCAAGATTGAAAAATATTTCCTTATCATTGTATCAAAATTTTACAGAAACTTTTCAAAATTTGACCTGGCTACACTGACAAATAGTTTGATACCTTTTGTGTTTTCTTGTATTATAGTTGCTTTGTATTTTGAAAGTATCAGCATTGTATTAAAACTCAATGTTATTTGTACTCCAAGTAATTTTTTATTAATTATTTCTCATTTTATAGTGTTGTGTTGGATTATTATTTTTATCGTATTAACTACAATATTACTAAGTATGTCTTAAACTATTGTTTTTTTTAACCAAAAAATACATTTTTTTAATATGTTTTAAACATAGATTAACTGAGAACAAAAAAACTAAGCTGACCTTATATAATACTATTATAGAATGTATTCTTTATGAGCAAAAAAATATTGGCTTAGTATTCATCTGTAACTGTTTCCTGTGATACCCCATTTACATTTTTAATTGTGCCAATAGTTATAATTTCTACCTTATTAATTTTAAGAATCCTCAAAATGCACTAAATTGATTGTTATAACTAATTATTTTGTTTTTAATTGTGCTCAAGGATTGTTGTATACTTTTGTCATGTATACTAAATTTCAAATTTTGCTTGCTATTGGAATGGTTTTTACTGGATCTATCAATACTCTCAGTGTTAAGTAAGAATTTAAACTTTTATATATTATATTCCATTGAATGAAAATTATGTTATTAGTCAGGATTGGCACTATAACAAATTTTTTATTCTAATTAATTTGTAATTTAAATCTAACTTATTTATGAAAATAGTAATCAATCTATAATAGGTCTATCAATCTATATATGATTTATAGTATTATGAAATGATAATATATTAATAACAAATATTTGAATGTATAAATTCATTAATAAGTACTAATTAGTTATAAGTAAAACTAAAAATCTTTGTTACTAATGACTAAATCATATTGATTAATTTTACAATTAGTAATAATTTATGTTTTGTTTACTTAATGAAGTTATTTAGTTGCAGTTTAGTTAATTATATCTAAATATATTTATAAATAAATTTTTTTTATTATTTTACTGTAATATTTATTTTATTAGGCTCTACTTGGCTAGTGCTCTACAGGTATCATGTACCTATAATGCATTAGGTTCTTTGGCCCGTCTTAACTGGTAAATCACAGATTTAGTAGAATTACTAACTTGCTACGCTGTGCACGCTAAATGTTTTATACAAATAGTATTCAGAATCAGTATAACAAAAATATAGTGAACATTTAATTATTTAAATGAGTAAAATTTAAAAATGGTCAATAATAAAATGTAATAAGTATTCATATTACATTTTACATTTAAATTTATAATATTTCAATTTTAACACTAACTTTGGGATTAAAGATGTTATAAAGTTATATGTTATGTGTTACTATAATATAGAGTTTCAAATAAAAGAAAGTTAATGTGTGTGGAGTATTAGAATATAATACATCAATACAAATTTTAGTTAGTATTTTATATATATGTTTAATTGTGATGCACACACATAAAATGGTGTTTGAATAAGAACAACGTGTATAGAAAAAAAAAATTTTAAATCAATGATTGTTAAGTAATTTTTTTAGTGTTGATAAATTTATATAATAAGATAACTCTCCTTTAAGTATTTTGTTATATAAGTTTTTTAACATTATTTAAAAACAATTGCCTCTTATTATCCCTAATGCAAGTAATTGTAATTTATTAAATATGTAACTCTTAGTTTTTAACAATTTGTACGTTGTTTCATTTATCATAATTATAATTTTTTTGAAGTTTATTCTTAAAAGTAATATAATTTTATCCTATAAATAATTTGTAATAAACAAATTTTGAATATTTATAGATGGGCAGACAATCTTTATGCAAAGGGATCTGATGGAAATTTTCGCAAATTTGATCATCCATTTGTGCAATCATTAAGTATGTTTCTTGGAGAATTTTTGTGTTTAATATTTTTTAAACTCGCATTGAGATATCATTTGAAAAGACAAGTTAGTAAATAATTCATATTGATATCATGTGTTTCATTAATTAAAGCATAAATTATCTATTAAAATATGATTTTTTTAGTACCCTATTGAAGATAGTCCAATAATTAAAGGAAACCAACAATTCAATCCATTCTTATTTTTTATTCCAGCTATGTGTGATATGGTTGCTACTTCTCTTATGTACATAGGTCTTAATTTTACCTATGCATCTAGCTTCCAAATGTTAAGAGGTGAATAAAATCCATAAAATTTATAAATGTTAGCTAAAATATAATTTTATAAGTAATTAATCATTTCATTGTTATAAAATATGATTTGTTCTATTTAATCAAAATTTTTTTTAATAACAAGTTATTTTTAGGTGCTGTTATAATCTTTACTGCTATATTTTCAAAATTTTTTGTTAACCGAGAAGTAACACTACGTCATTGGTTGGGCATAATAACAATTATCATTGGATTAGCCACAGTAGGTGCTTCAGATTTTTTGTTGTCAAAAACAGTTAAAATTAATCGATCTTACACACCTGTCGGTATTATCACTGGTAGGTTTTAATTTTTTTATTAAAAATATATCTATGTAAGATAAATTTTTCTTTTACAGGTGATCTCTTAATCCTTTTTGCTCAAATTATAACTGCAGTTCAAATGGTATATGAGGAAAAGTATGTTGTTTCAAATGACATTCCACCACTACAAGCTGTAGGCTGGGAAGGTATTTTTAAATTTAATAAATACATTTTTCTTTCTATTATTTATGTAATAATGTTCTATCTTCAGGTGTATTTGGTTTTTTGTCTATGAGCATACTCTTAGTACCATTTTATTTTATCATTGTTGGCTTACCTTTTGCAAATAATTCCCGAGGATCTATTGAAGATTTTCCAGATGCCATCATACAAATTATGAATAATAAACTTATATTATTAGCATTGATCGGTGAGTAATTGTTATTCAAATGTATACTTAATTAACCTTAATTTTTTTTTCAATTCAGGTAATATATTCAGCATTGCTTACTTTAACTTTGCTGGTATAAGTGTTGCTAAAGAAATATCTGCAACTACACGAATGGTATTGGATTCTGTTCGTACATTTTTTATTTGGACTTTTTCATTAGTTGTTGGATGGCAAAATTTCCATCCCCTTCAGGTATTTATATTTAAAATCATTGATTGATTAAAATTTAAACGTTATAATTTTTGTTTTTCCTTTAAGCCTGTTGGTTTTCTTCTTCTTCTTATTGGAATGTGTATTTATAATAATCTATTACTAGCATTTCCAAGAAGATTAAGAACTTTGGTAAATTATCCTACAGATGAACCAATTATAAACTCTGAGTGAAAGTATTTACTGATTATCAAGTATCTTATTTCCTTTTGAAATGTAATAACTAATTTTTTTTTATGCAAGTAAACAAGAAAACTACAAAATTTTTAAATTTTAATAATAATAAGAAAGTTATTAAAAAAAATAACTATTGTGAATTTCACATATTTTTCTGTTTCTATATTTTTAAGTAAAAAATTAACAATAATTTAATTTTCTACTATATATAAAGTATAGCAGACATTATATTTATATATAACTATTTACAGTGTATTTTGAAAAAAATTTAGTTACTTTGATAATTAAACAATTTTCCTTTTTACAATAATATAACTATTATTCATATGTATACATAAACATTAAAATTCAAGTATAAATTATTTAAAGTTTGTATTTGTAATATATTTATTACATTATATATTAAATTAGAATACAATAAATAACATTGAAAAAAATTTTACTATTCCCTTATCAACATCATAATTGATCATTTAATTTGAAGATATTTCTTTTAAGTAAAAATGAAAGTCTAGAAAAGACTTTGATGGCCTTTTGTATGGAAGGTTTTTTATTTCTTATATTCATTAATAATATTTTCTTAGTCTTCAATAATTATCATTTTTTATTATTTGCAAATGATTTAAATATTTACTTTTGTGTATCTTTAATTAATGTTAGGTATACAGAAATAAATAAATATTTTTTGATTGGTGTCAAAAATGTCATATATTTCTGAATATTTCTTTTTTACAATAATTTAACTATTATTCATATGTATACATAAACATTAAAATTCAAATGTAAATTATTTAAAGTTTGTATTTCTAATATATTTATTTTAATGTGTCCAAGTATCCTTGTAAATAAATTACTGTGATTAATGTAATAAAATATAATTATGTGATATTAAGACTGTTCCCAAATAACATAGAAAATTTTTTAATACTATTTTTAAATTAAATTTTCTATCTTTTAACTTAAAGGCTTTTTATGTGGTGTAAGTATGTTGATCTTGTTGACTATCTAAAAATAATCATATTATATTATATTATTATTGTTATTATTATACGTTATACTAGGATCCTTAATTTATCTATTTTAAATTATTACTATTACTAAGATATAATTAAATATTCAATTAAAGTATATTTAAGTTACCCCTTATTAAGAAAATATTGTAATGCTCAAATCTCAATATATTATTAAAAATTGATTAAGTTTATATCTTAAAATTTTTATTTTAAACTATTTTATTTAAATATATGAATTTTTATTATAAAAATAATTATAACAAAATAGTATTTTTTTATCTTTAATATGGTAGTAATATCAAACAAAACATAGATGTAAAAATAATAATGCTAAATAACAACAAAATAAAGTATAGTTTAATTTGAAATAATTTTTATTATTTTTTTTAATTATGTATTTGTCTACAAATTAATAAGTAATTCAATATTAAATAATTAGATTCAACTGTCAGAAATGACAGTATTTAGTGGTGGTGCAGGGGCATGTGCCTCCCCCTTCATTGACTGAGCCAGCCAATGTAAATATCTAATCAAGCAATGTAATAATGTAAGTAAATGATGAGTTACTGTTAATTAATAATGGTATTATTTGACATTAAAATTATTTTTTGGTTATCATAACATCAAATCTGATGGAAACATCTTTACCTTTTATTGATTATTTTCCAAATATTAAAAAGGTATAATATTATTCGCTACAATTCTTTGACTATTTATTTTTTAGAAAGATTCTTTTCTTTTCTTTAAAGTATAAAAATCTATTTAAGATCAGCTATGAGCGAGCAGTGTTTAAATGAGCTAGCATTATTAAATATCCACCCAGAAATTTTTATAGACGTTAAGAAATTTTTTATTTATACGCTAATGAACAACCAAGAAAACTTAAATTATTATAGATTATAATTATGATAATTTACATAATACATTAATTTATATATTTGATTAATAAATGAATAATTTCACTTCATATATGAAATGATTTCAAATTGTATATTTTATTATCCTTGATTATGGCTATATTTGTGCTTTTCTATTCTATTTAAATTTATTTTGTTGAACAAATTTTTTTTAAGTGTTAACAAAAGTTATGAGCAAAATATAATTGTTTTATGGTATCTCATCCATGAAAATTTGTTGTGCCCCTCCATTATAAATTTCTAAATACGCAACTGCTACTAATATACGTCTTTTTGATACATAATTACGAACTAAGGATTTTTTCATTTTATTTTACTATATTTTTTTTTAATATTTTTAAAACTCTTCTAAAGATAATAATCGTATTCCCAACAATGCCAATATGAAGAAGATAAAGACATAATTCTTTAGTCGGGTGGATTTGACTCTTGTGCTAACTGGAATGAACCAACCGACTCATCTTAAGTAGATCTCAAAATCCTCAGGTGGCTGGTCGAAATTATCTAGTTCGCTCTATTCTTGACGATTACAAACTTAGCAATATTAAATGTTCTATTTTAAAGCTTTGCGCTTTAGCTATTCATTAAATAGCTTGAAGAGAAGTGTTTTAGTGTTCAAACCGTTTTGAGCTCCAAAACAGGGAGCCATTAATTAAATGAATTAAATTAATAAATTAAGCTAATTTAATTAAAGTTTTGAATAAAAATCAACCTTTCGTGTAATATGTAAAAAATAGTAAAGAATAATCTTACTCGAACTTTTATTTCTCAAATTATTAACAAGTAATAATAGTAATAATAAAATCTAATAATAGTAATACTATACTTATAATAGTCTTTTAAATAACTAAAGTTTTCTTATAGTTTTGTGGGATTATATTATAAATTACGCATATATTCACTATATAAATCGCATTACAATATGACGGAGTCCGTCCAAATTTTATTTTGCAATTTCAAAGTAATGCTATGAAAAATTAATACACTACTGATACAATGTCCTCAATATTATGGTAATAACAAATAACGAGTCAGACAAACAATGCTCGAGTCAGCGTTTATATTGAACAAAAATTATGCTAGGATTAAAGGATATCGACTTATATATATTAAAACGACAATTAGAAACGCTGGTTGGGTTATTACTTAATTCACCAATCTTATTATTAAACTGTTGCAAAAAAAAATGGATAATCTTATTATATAATAGAACAAGGAAATAAAACCTTTTCTGGGAAAATTACTTAGCGTACTCGGATTTTCAAAAATTTTTTTTCAACCAAAGTACTCGGTCACGAGACTCCGGTAAAATTATTGGGGAAAGTCGGAAAATGTTTGCAGATCGCCCACGAGCGTTTTAAAATTTCGACTGTTTTCGAGATAAACGCTCGCTGACGCCATCGTTTTACGACTTAAGGTTTGAAATTTTCACCAGACCCGCTCAATGACATTTCTGAGGTATCATACAAAAATCAATTTAACCCGTTCATTTTTCACCGTTTTATGAGGTTTTTTTTTTTATTTAAGTCCACGCGCATGGTATTAATATGGTCATTGACTCATTTCTGCGCATATTATTATTGTGACCATTAATTTGTATGGTAATGAATTTGTAAGACGATTTAATTTTCTATTCAATTTATTATTAATATATGTTATTGTTGTCATATATGAATTGTTTGTGTTAGTTATAACTGTCTTATTTTTTGATATTATGTTTGTTATTTTTATATATTATGTTTAGTTTATTAAAATACTTTCTGTCGATTTTTTTTAAATATATGTATAATACAAATTTATTGATATATTTAATGATGTTTATTGTTATATATATCTTTTGTTTGAACTTTTGCTTATAATTAGCTTACTGATCAATTGTACTTTTTTCGCTTTGAACTTTTTTTTATCCATGCAGAGTTTATATTAAGATACTATTTTGCATTTGCACATAATTATGTATAAAATTCAGGACAGTTATAAGTACATAAGTTTGTATATTCATTATCAGAATGGTAATGTTTTAAGAATCTTTTATATTTCCTATATAATGTATAAGTCTATGAGTTTATCGTAAAAATTGGAATCCATTTATGATAACTATGCTGTCCAACATCGTATCACAGTAACCAATATTTTTATCAAAATTATATTTTTTTACATAGTGCGAGGTAATATAACCTGACGAATTTTCTTGTAATTATTCTGCAATATAAATAAAATTATTATAATTAGAATATTAATAATTATTGTAAAAAAAAATTCTATAGCATGTTCAACAAAATAAAAAAAAAATTAAATACACTCCTAATATAATTTATTTTTACGCTCAAGGGGATTACCTCATTTATAAACGATAACCTTATACTCAATATAATTTTCCTGATATTAATAATTAAATTTAAATATATTTTTGTTACACTGATTCTGATGTAATATTTTTCCTGTAAAACACTTATCGTGATCGGCATAGCCGGGTACTCCTACCGAAATCAGTGGACTACTTACTTGAGGATGCCCCAAAGAGGAGCGTGAGGCTCGCAGTGCCCCATGTCTGGAGTGGACCCCCATCTAGGAAAAGCCTAGTATACAATAAGAGTATTGGAAAATAAATACTTAGTTAGAATTTCGTTGACATTATTCATAAAATTTACTGCGAATAAGACAAATATTAAAAATTAAATATGATTTATTCATGTAAATATATAATTCTAAACTTGAATAAATTGTTATTGTGGAACATATTGAGAAACTGAACTTTGTATAACTGATCAATATTTCAGTCCGCCTACATATATGTTCTTCTTTTTCTTCTATTTTGCAGTACTAATAAAAAATTGATATTTAAATTTTAAAGAGATTTTAATAGTGTTGATTAATTTCGGATGGAGAGGAAGGGGTAGGTGTTATCAATATTCCTTAAAGAAGGATTATATCTGATTCGGATTAGAAAAATTCCCTATATAAACTTCTACTTCACATTGAAGATTTTTTTTTTATTTGTTAGTTTTTTTTTTTATAAATACCATAATATATAATATATTATATAAATTATGAAAATAGATTATTGAAATACAATAAAATGTATTTGCTCATTAATTTTTGTTAAATGTAATTAAATGTAGTTATTTTGTTTAAATTGTTATTTTATATGACTTTTCAATATCTCTCTTTGACTACATCCAGATCACATATACGAGGAATTTGAAAAATTAAAGAAATATTATACAGTGTACCACGTGGTAACTCATAAATAATGGATTCTACACATAAATAAAACACAAAGAATTATCTATACATAATAATTAGTATACGTATAATGTTCGTTCAATGTTATTGGCTATTATTTTGAATCATGAGTTATGTTTCATATGTTTAGATTACGCCTATTGCCGTTATTTGATAAACTCTGTACAGTAGATTAGGCACTCGCACTTCTGTTTTTTTTTACAGAAGTCGTAATGTATGATTATACTTTGGCTTAATTCTCTTGGCTTCGTAATATATTGTCGCCAGTGTAAGATAAGCATTCATATCTACACAATAAACACTTCAATTTTTTTGCAAAATATACCTTAGAAGATTTTTATTAATAACTGATCATTCATTTTTTTTTTAATTTAACATAAAGTACATATCTTTGCTATTTAACTATTTTAATTATTTTGCTTTATTAGAAAAAAATAATAATAACTATGTATTCTTCGTATGAAATTTTTCTCGTTGTCGGATTAATCGTGTCTGGGTCTATAAATACAATAAGTGTCAAGTAAGATTTTTGATCATATTACTTTTTATTATATTGCTTACAAATTATTATTTTTTTATAATATCAAAAGAAAAACATTTGCCTTTTTTTACAATATGTTAGAGTAAATACGATAAGGCTGCAAAGGTTGATGTTTGATACACTAAACAAAAATGAACTTTGAAGCACAAGGCCTTTGTGTTGATATCAAAAAATTAGAATACTATAAATAACATTGAAAAATATTTTACTATTCTCTTATCAACATCATAATTGATCTTTTAATTTGAGGATGATTTTTTAAATAAAAATGCTAGTCTAGAAAAAAATTGGGATGGCCTTTTTTTATAGAAGTTTTTTTATTTTTGTATTCATTAATAATATTTTCATAGTCTATAAAAATTTTCATTTTTTATTATTTGCAAATGATTTAAAAATTGACTTTTGTGTATCTTCAATTAACGATAGTTATACAAATAGAAATAAATATTTTTCGATTGGTGACAAAAATATCGTATATTTCTGAATGTTTCAAAATGTTACTCAATGATTTTCTACAAGTTAAGCGTACCAATAGAATTTGTTTATTCTACAAATAATAATTTGCTTGAATCAGTTTTGCACATTAAACATTTTGGTTTAACATTAATATTTAAGGATATATAGCCTTTATAATATTTTTCAGAAAAGTAAAAAAATGAGATTCGAGAAAACTGACCCTGTTCTTAGTTACACATTATGATTGTAAAACTAAATTATATATAACATAGTAAAATGTGGTTTCAAAATCAAATTTGTTTATTTTTGTAGCTCTCGGTGTTTAAAAATGTAATTTTTAGAGTATAATTTTTTCTTACCTAATTTTAGATGGGCAGATACCATGGAGGCTCCTGGAAGAGATGGAACTATTCGGAAATTTCATCACCCTTTTGTTCAGTCATTAAGCATGTTTCTTGGAGAATTTTTATGTCTGATATTTTTTAAACTGGCTTTATTATATTATGTAAAAAAGAAGGTATGTTGGAACTTATTTCGTAAGCTTTATAAGATTTCAAAAGAATTTTTACTCCTAAATTTCAAATTTTTTTTTTTAGATTTCTACATAAAAATACCAAGAGGTATCTTAGATTTATGCAATTTAAATGTCATTAATATATCTATTTACGTTTATATTAAAATAGAATATTTGTTATTTATGCCATTATATCTTTATAAATATAATATTTTTCAGCGTTCCACCGAAGATAGAACAATCATTACAGGAAATCAAAATTTCAACCCATTTATTCTCTTTTTCCCAGCTATGTGTGATATGATTTCTACAACAGTTATGTACATTGGTCTTAACTTCACATATGCATCTAGTTTTCAAATGTTAAGAGGTTAGAACCTATATAAATGTATATGTTGTAAAAATATTTTTATTATAACTCATTGTGCTTTGAATGTAATTAATTGGTCAAATTGGCCTATTAATTATATTGTATCTACATATCGTTTACAACAGTTATAGACCCGTATGTGTGTCAATAAATATTTAACAAGTACTTGAAATTTAAACTAAAATCAACAGTTTTATTATAATTTATATTTAAGATGAATTTTTTAATATATAATTATAATTTGTGTCTTATTATATAATTAAAATTAAAACTATATTAAAAATATTTAACTCAAAAATTACTAATAAATCGCGGATACGTATTTTGAAAACAATGTTACCATTATAAACACATACAGAATGAAAATGGTAATTTTTGTGGCTTTTTGAATTAAATATTTTTTATGTTTTTTAGTTTTAAATTAATATTTTTAATATAGTTTTAATTTTAAATATATCAGATTGCTATATGTAATGCTTAATAAATTTCTGAACTTACTAAACAATTATATTTATTTATAATCAAATATTATAAAAAAATTTAGTATAATATGTATATGACTTTTTAATAAACATTTTTTATTCGTTTAAACAGGAGGTGTTATCATATTTACTGCATTACTTTCCAAAGTATATCTGAAACGAAATTTAACTATTCGACATTGGCTAGGCATATTTATAATTATTATTGGACTAGCTACAGTTGGTACATCGGATTTATTACTATCACAGCAAAAATCGGAAAGTAATAGTTCATACACCACTGAAGCAATAATAACTGGTAAATTAAATATTATGATAATTTAATTATTATTATTAATTTTAAAAATAATTTATTTTTAAACTAGATAAAATAGTTAGTTTACGAAAATACATATGATTTTATTATAAATTTCCTAAAAGAAACTATTTTTGAGTTTTAGATGAATGTTATATGAGTTTTTTTACTGTATAATAGGCGATGTATTGATATTTGTTGCTCAAATAATAACTGCAGCTCAAATGGTATACGAAGAAAAATATGTTGTTTCTCATGATATTCCATCATTGCAAGTTGTCGGCTGGGAAGGTATTAAAAAAAATGTTTTTTTTTTCAAAAATTCATTAAAAAATCATAGATGTCCACATGATGCCAAAGTAAACAAGTTACCCCTTGATTTTCTACATGGTTATTTTCCATAATCATTGTGTATAATATATATTTTTTTAATTCAAAGTAAAAAATTATATGCTCATTAAATTATATTAGATAGACAGTATTAAGTGCATTATTATTATATAATGTTATTATATAAAAAAAAGGAATTATTCATAAATAAAATGCATAGAATAGTTAAGTCATAATATTGATTTGATAGTACCTCTTATCAATCAATTATTTTATTCTTTTATTAAAAGTATACAAATAATTTTTTTCATAATTATCTAATAGAGTTATATAGGTGTTTAGTAAATAAGGAAACAGGATTCTATTGTCTCATTGTTTATATTAATTGAACCGTTTCCTTGTTGAACACTATGTATTTTTTCAAGTAATGAATTAAAAAAGAACATTTCAAAATGAAATACTTTTTATTAATTAAATTAATAGAGGCCATTAATTATATATATATATAATACATAAAAGTCCTAAATAGTCTTAATTCATAATTTTTTTACTGTGAGGCTTAAAAATAACATTTTTAGGGTGCTTATTATATTTTACATCTGCCCAAAAAAAGTTTTACGAATTCTTACACGAGGATTTGACATCTTTTATCAATTTTAATCCAATATTTGAAATTTTTATTATATTCAAATCATATTTTTTATAATTTATATCAAATTTAATAATTAATAAACAATTTTTTATACAGAGTGTTAGTATAATCAATGTCACGAGTAGTAAAGTGATAATTAGTAGGATCTAAAAATAGCGAAATCAAAAACTAAAATTTCTTATATTTATAATTGGGATTTTTCCAGTTTTATCATTTCAAATTTTATTTAAATAAAAAATAAATTTTGCCACGGTATTTCTCACAAAATCCTCATACAATTTGAGTGTCACTCAATTTTTTTGTAAATTTCACGCCCTCTCCTGATCTTTGTGTTCTAAGTTGGAAAAAATTTTCACTTTAGTGTGATCCATCAATATGTATTAAAATTTTACTGAGAGTGTTTTGATGTAGTTTATTTTTAGTTTAAACGATTACACAACGAGAAAACCCGGGAAATAAAACAATCACAAGATTGAAATGAATATTTTGAGCTGATTATTTTAAACTTTATTACAATAGGATAGTTAGAAATAATTATTTCGATGTAATCGGTACACTACTCTTTCCCTAAATTGATCACTAATGAGAATATGGTACATCACTGAGCTTGTTAATATTTATTTAAATCTTCGAAAAATACTGTTCACTATTAAATAATCACTAATTAAATTGCAAAAAATACTGGATACCTTTTAAAATATAGCTTATTTTTTTATGCAATAAAAATGCATAATTTGCAATATTGACGAATAATCTGTATTAAAATCCTGGGTTATGTATTTTATTTTATTTAAAAATTTCTTATAAAGGCAATACACTGACTTTCATGAATATTATATAATTTGTTTGACATAGAATAAAGTTCATAAGACATAAGAAAGTAAACTTATTTAAATTTTTTTGCTGTTTTAAAGTCGAAAAGTAATTTTTAAATTCGAGTTAGCTTAAATTGCTAATTTTATCATGTGACAAAAGCGATGAACAGTTGTCGAATCGGTAACACTTATGTCTTTCATGCTATAAGGGTACGAGGTTCGCATCCGCCTATGGCCATTAATATTTTACATTTTTTTTGAGTTAGAAAATATTTTAAATCATTTGATTTTTATCTCATTTAGATTCAATAACTTCAATAAATATCAAGGATCCCATCATTATAGTCTCCCCTCGTGAGAAGAAATTTCTTATTCATGTTAATATTATTTTACTATGTAGTTTTTTTCGTGGCTACGATTTATTTTGCCAACCCTCACTAGACCTACTTTTTTCAACGATACGTCAAATGATTACAATTCGTATTTAGTTTAAGTTATTAGATATTATAAGATTAAGGAGAGGGCGTGAAATTTACAAAAAAATTGAGTGACACTCAAATTGTATGAGGATTTTGTGGGAAATACCGTGGCGAAGTTTATTTTTTATTTAAACAAAATTTGAAATGATAAAACTGGAAAAACCCCAATTTTAAAGATAAGAAATTTTAGTTTTTGATTTCGCTATTTTTAGAACCTACTAATTATCACTTTACTACTCATGACATTGATTATACTAATACCCTGTAATTAAAAATATGTTTTAATGTTATATAATAAAATGATTGTAACTTGATAAGTATTTGTCCTAAAATTATAATCGACTCATAAAAATTATTTGTAAAAAAATTAACTAAAGACTCCGGTAATTCCCTATAACACTGGATCTATAAAAAGGACAGCAAACCAAATATTTAAAAAATTATATTTACCCCTCTCATTAAAAATATCTGAGGACGCCCTTGTAAAAAATCATTTCTATTACAAGATTTAACAAATAAATAATTAAAATTCCAGGTGTATTTGGATTTGTCATAATGAGTATACTTTTAGTACCTTTTTACTATATTAATGTTGGACCACCTTTAGCAAGTAATTCTAGTGGGTCTCTTGAAGATTTTCCAGACGCTATAGTGCAAATTATGAGTAACGGATTCTTATTTATTGCATTGATTGGTAATGAGATATTTTATTTTACTAGAAATAATACTCAAATTAATCTTAGAAATAATTTATTTAATTATTTAAATTTAGGTAATATACTAAGTATTGCTTATTTTAACTTTGTGGGAATAAGCGTTACCAAAGAAATTTCAGCTACGACAAGAATGGTATTAGACTCTGTTCGTACATTTTTCATTTGGACATTTTCATTGGTTGTAGGATGGCAAGCATTTCACTTTCTCCAAGTACGATTCTATCTTGTTTTGTAGTATTAATCTACGTCGATAAATGTATTAATAAACATTATTCTGGTGGTCATATATGATCTTTATAATAATGTTCATTAATTTTTTGGTTTTTTTATTTAAAAAATCTAGATCTATTTATTAGCCAGGGCCAAAAAAATTTGGTCTGCACTTTCGATTTTTTTTTTTTTAGTGATAATCTAGTAAAACTAGGAAAACTTAGCCCATCTACCTCGAGAACACAAGGTAGGTGAAATTAATAAATCAGAGACAAAAAGCGACAACGTTATAGGAGAGGTGGAAAGTTTTAAGTATTTAGAATCAATTATGCAGAAGTACGGTGGTATCGATGAGGATGGAAGACCCAGGATTAAGTGCGAATGGGTGAAGTGTAAAGAAACGTCTGGTGTGTTATGCGATAAGAGATAGAAGAGAGGAATGACTAAAAAAATAGTATAAGAAACAAATATATAAAAGGGAGTAGAGGTGTGTTCACGTCAATTGGGAATAAGATAAAGAAAATAGACTTGAAGATTTGGTCATGTTATGATGACAGAGGATTCGGAAGCTGTAAGAGCAGTTACAAAAATGAATATTGAAGGAATAAGAGGTAGAGGAAAATCAGAAAAGAGATGAAAGGATGTTATTGAATGTCATATGAGGATGACTGATGCAAACGTTTAGGATAAGGGTAGCCGATCCTAATTAGTTAGGATCAAGACGAAGAAAAAGAAGAAAATTTATTTATATAACATACATGGGCAATTCGCCCTTTTGTAGATAATATATCATATTTGTTAAAATACTCTATCAACTCAATCCTAAATATTACAATTTTTGACAAGGAAAAACTGTATTTTATTCTTTTAAGTATTGGATGAGACATAATTATAAAATCAACCTATGATTTCTCTGAACAAAATTTTTTTTTGTTTTTCCTTTTTCCTTCCTTCTTTAACTGTTTTTTTAAATTATAAAATCATGATTTAAAAAAATAAAAAGGGTACCCTTTTTATTTTTTTTACCTTAAATTAGTGTCTTTAAAGGGACGGTATCCTATCTCATAGACCTCACAGACCCCGTAAGACCAAACATAAATAGTGTGGGAGATAGGTGTGGAAGGCTCAATATAATATTTTATACAGGGTGTTCAGTAAGTCAGGAAACGGGTTTCTATTGTTCTCATTGTTACAAACAATTCATTGAGAACAATAGAAACCCGTTTCCTGACTTACTGAACACCCTGTATAGAATTTCCATTGAGTATTTTAGCTTCGTATCGAAGCTGAGAAGGTATTAATTTTACTATGATGTGGTTTTTTTTTTTTTTTTTGTGTCTGTTACTACTTTTTCTCAGCTCTCATCGAACCGCTTTTTTCCAACGATTTTTCAAAGGATCACAAATCGTATCTAGTCGAAGACATTACCCTCAAAAATTGAAAAAATTTCCCTCGTTCCCCGTAAATGGGGGAAACCTCCACAAAAATTACAAATTTAAAAAACGCTAATTTTTTCAATTTTTTTTACTTAAAACTGCCATAACTTTTTCAAAAATGAACAAATCAATAAAAATTTTTTTTTATAGATGCTTGAAGTCATTACCTATCATTTGGTATATGTTTTTTATTAATTTAAAGGGTCAGATTTATGCCCACGGGGGGTGTTTCAAAATAACAACTTTTTCAACTTAACTTTTGAATTTGTTCCGGAAATACTGACACTTTTATTTATACCTTAAATAAAATCTTATGTAATATACTTTATTATGAAAAAATGTTGGAAATTATTTTGTCACAAATCGTATCTTGTCGAAGACATTACCCTCAAAAATTGAAAAATTTCCCTCGTTCTCCGTAAATGGGGGAAATCTCCAAAAAAATTACAAATTTAAAAATCGCTAATTTTTTCACTTTTTTTACTTAAAACTGCCATAACTTTTTCAAAAATGAACAAAACAATAAAATTTTTTTATAGATGCATTATGTTTTTACCTATCATTTGATAGGTAAAGAAAAAAAAATTTATATATTTTTATCCCAACCTGCTCACAAGAAGGGATTCAAAATGACAACTTTTTCACAAAAAATTAACTATTTCAATTTATCTTTTGAAAGTGTTCTGAAATATTGACACTTTTATATATATCTTAAATTAAAGCTGATGTAATATACTTTATTATGGAAAAAAAATATTTCAGACTTTATTTTGTCTTCACGGTGTAAATAGACATCAAATTTAATAAAATAAATACCATTTTAAATACTTTTTTATATTTTTAGCTTTATAACACTATAACTTTTCGAAAAAAGTATGGATCAATACAATTTTTTTATGATAAATAATATTTATATACCTTTTTAATTTGACATATTTTTTTTTAAATCGGACTAATTCTCTTAATACAGTGGTTCAAAACTTTAAAATGCATATAGAAAGTAGAACTTTTTCAACTTTTTTTTTTTTAAGTATTGCATTATGACCTTCAACTTTTATATTCGTTTGCCCATAAAAGTAATAACTACTTTATAATTTTTTATAATTTCTCCGTTAAAATTACAGTAGTACATTATTAAATATCAATTTCATACTTTATTTAATTGCTAAAATAAATATTTATTCATTTATTACACTTATAAATCATAAAACTTATAATCAGGATATAAATAAAGAATTAAAAGATAATGTTCCTTTTAGAATAATCTAACAAATTTTTTTTTTTTAATTAAAGATTATCTAAAGATTTGCATTAAAGCGTTTTTTATGATAGTGATTTTAATCACTGTCAGATATCATCTATACTAGACCCAAATATGCTACGTCCCCACTGTGCCGTGACCCCACTGTTCTGGGTTTTTTAATTGTGTATTAAACCCAACAAAACTTTGATTTTTTAAAACTTCATCCATGTTAGTGATTAATATTTTTATAATATAATTCAAAGTTGAATTTTATGATAAATTATAACTTTTAGACTTTTTTTTACTTTAAATCCTACCCATATTACAACCAAAATTAAATTGTTTTGGAGTACATAACCTAAATATTTCGAGTTATTTTATGAGGTTGTAGTTTTACATGTCTTCTATTATAAATAAAATGTTGCATCTTAGAACGAATATTATAAAAAANCATGTCTTCTATTATAAATAAAATGTTGCATCTTAGAACGAATATTATTAAAAAATAACTTTTTGTTTATTTTAGCCTGTTGGATTCATAATACTATTTGTCGGAATGTGTACCTACAACAACTTCCTTATATGAAAATTAAAAAACAATGTTTAATAACTTGAAATATTCAACTACACTAAAGTTATATAAAATATGTATAGTATCAAGTTTCTCTATGCTATTCTTTTTTTTGACAAATCATGGTGAAATATTTGTGTCAATTAATTTATGTACCATGAATTTTAATAATATTTAATTTGAAATTATATTTATTAAAAAAACTACTAATTCTGTAATTAGTTAGTTTGTAACCTGTAATTGCAATAATAGTTAGACAAATTTAATAAAAACTAGTATGTATTTTTACTGTAAAAAATAATTATTGAACAATGTATTAATTAGGCTTAATCTTTGTGATAATGTTATTTTAAGATAAATTTAATATTTATTTAATTCTGGATAATAAAAAGTTTGTGTATCATTTCAGAGTTATTTAAATCTTTAAATATTAGATAAACTTTGAAAAACTATGAAATCAAAATTTTTCAAATGCTATTACATTATAATATACAAGTTAAAATTATTCTTGTAATAATTGAATTAGATAGTTCACATTTTTTTATTTAATTAATGGGTTTTCTACTTGTTATATTGTACTGTCAAAAATACAGCATAATTTACGACATTATCTATTTTTGGCAAAATTTTTAGGTACATTATTTTCAAAAAATTATTCGTTAATAATATTTTTTTTTAACAAAAGACTAACTAGTACTAGGAAAATATCTACTTATAAGTTCCTTTGTTTGTTTTATCAGACTTAGTGACAAGAATATATTTTATTATTTACTTTTAGTAAATTCATTTTATCATTTAAAAATAAACAATTCAAAGATCAGAAACAAGGGGGATAATTCGTCTTCATCAATAAAATGTTCTTATCTACAATATGAGAGTAAATATGATAAAATGATAACATATTCTGTAATAGTTTACGATAGTTATATCAGGCCAAGAAGGGGAAACTAATTATATGTGAGAAAAATAATGATAATTCCACTGATTGTATTATATTGTAAAAACCTAGTATTATGTCTAATTCTATACCGATTCGTTTAGTTGTATATCCATTATTGCGTAACCTTTCACATTTAGAGCATAGAGTTACTAGCACACAATATCGACAGTTTTCATTAACAAATAATATGGCAGTTACTGCAGATTTGACATATGCTCCTGTACTCGATGATCAAACAATTAGTGCATCTTGGTCACCTAAAATGATCGCATGGCAGCTTCATTCTTATGGAAACTTAGATGATTTGTTACTTACCAGTAATGCACGTTCTCCAGTCATGACAGGCGCAAAAGATGTAATTGTACGTGTTAAAGCATCATCAATTAATCCACTTGATGTTATGATGACTGGTAATTTATTTATTTATTTTTTGTATTCCTTTGAAACAACTTAAATTTTTATAGAGGGTTATGGTCAAGTTATTCTGGGTACCATTCGTCAAGCTCAACAAAAATCATTACACAAACCTGTAGAATTTCCTTTAACTCTGGGTAGAGATTTTACAGGAGAAATTGTTGCTAAAGGACCAAGTGTTACAAATAATTATAACATCGGAGATATAGTCATGGGTGTGGTTCCTCCTTTCCAGCAAGGTTGCCATGCTGAATATGTCTCAGTCCCAGAAAGTCTTGTAAGTAAAGAAGTAAATAACTATGTTATTACAATTATATTATTTAATAAATTTTATTGTGATATAGATCGCTAAAAAACCTGTACATATGTCATATGAAGAAGCAGCTGGGTTATTATATACAGGACTAACTGTATATAGCGCATTAAAAGTTGCAGGTGGTTTATACATTTTGGATGCTGCTAGTAAAAATGTTTTAGTAATTGGAGGATCTGGAGGAGTAGGAAATTGTGCTATACAGTTGCTAAAATCTTGGGGTTCTAAGGTTTATTATATTTCTATTAATTTTTATCTATTTATCTTTAAATAAAACAACTAACTCAATTTAATTTATTTATTGATAATTAAAATATTAAAGGTTACTACTACATGTAATACTGACGCTATCAAAATTGTGGAGAAACTTGGACCAGATAATATTGTTGATTATAATTCTAGTGATATGAGACAAAAATTGGAAGAATTTGGAAAGTAAGTACTATAATAATTATAGTACTTACTAAAATTATTTTAGTGAACACTATTGTACATTGTTTTGAAGTAATATTATTGTAACAAAAAGTAAAATTAGCTATACTATTAAATTTTTATAAAATACTGACAAAGAACACAATGTGGTAGAATCCATACATTATCAGCTTCACATTGTAGCTAATGACATCTTAATTAAAAACATTTATTCAACTTTAATTTTCATAACATCTTAAATAAAAATTTATTTTTTATTTTTTTTATTAATATTGTTATTTTATTCAATTCTTTAAGAAGTAGCTTTAATTTAGTTTTAAATATTTTCAAAATTAGCTACACAAACATAATTTTATGAAAAATAATTATAATCAACGAGTTAATTTAATGTAATTGAATTCTACCATCGTTAACATAATTTATATTATTGTAAGATAGTTGCTGTAAGTTCATAAATATTGGTTTAATAATTATAATTAATAAACCATTACTCTATTAATTATAATTGATAAAATACTGATTCTATTTGTATAAATTTTTACTTATTTTAGGTATGACATTATATTGGACGCAGCAGGAATACCGTATGAAGACATCAGTGTTTATACAACTCTTTTAAAAGGTTGGACCTGTAGTTGTTTCATTACCTTAAGAAGTCCAATTTTAAAGAATACAGATTCTTATGGATTGTTGGGTGGAATGCTAAAAAATGCTTATGATCTAGTTGTACCAAATATTTTATCTGGAGCAGTATTCAAAGGTTCTACTATTCGATGGGGTACTTTTATGCCTCTTGAAGGAGGTGTTAGAGAATTAGCAAAATTAGCTGAAGAAAAGAAAATAACTGTTCCTATAGACACAGTTTATAAATTTATGGATTTTAAAGAAGCATATAATAAAGTTAATGAAGGGCATCTCAGGGGTAAAGTAATTGTAACTTATGACCAAGAAGGCTTAGATACAGCTAGATTATCTAATTAAATTAATTTAATATTGTTGTTTATTGTTTTACTATTATGGTTAGTTGTGTTAACTTTTTTCTTTTTAAAACTGTTGTTTTATATTAATTTTATCTTGTTTATTTTATAATATATTATTTTTTATGATAAATTAAATACATCTTTTGAACTCAGTTTGCATATTAGTACAAATTTATTTTCAAATACTTCTTAGAAGTATTATTACATTATTTAAAGTCATGGATAGAAATGTTGCAGGGGAATTTGTAAGAAATTTGTCTCAATTTAATGAATTCATATGAGTAATTCACAATTTTTACTCATTATTTTTTTTTTTAATATTGAGTACAATTTTACAGACTTAAATAATAATATTTTTGAATTGTAAATAATTTTAATAATTGTTATTCAAATTATTAATAGTTATTATGAACTCAAGAAATGTCTTATAATAAAAATAGTCATATCCCCATTTCATCTTCAATTTATATTTTTAAATACTAATAAATTCCTAAGTAATAGTCTAAGTTGTTATAAACCAGTAATTTTTTTAATTAAATCATTATCTAATAATTAACTAATTAAATAATATTTAATATATCTACCGAATACTTGTTGTATTTTACCATTTAAATATATAAAGTTGATATTGTACTAAGGTATAAAGGATAAATCAAGAAACATGTGTAACAAAAAAACTCAAAAAGAAATATTACCAAAATAATTTTTATTTTGTAAACAATTAAGTGATTAACCTGTTCTATAACCTATTAACCTATTAATATGGTAAATCAAATTATTTATTATCAAAATAGTAATAAATTATACTATTTTATAATTATAATTACAATGTTCTGAAATCAGTTAAATTGATTATTTTATTTTTTAAACATTTATTATAATTATTAGGAAATATGAAATAATATTTAATTTCTAATACCTTCCTTTCTTTTATGAGATTATTACTTGCTAGAAAAAAATGTTTTATTATTCTATAATAAATTTGTACTCATGTTCAATTTTCAAAATTTTTCAAGTTGTAATCAATTTTGTTTTTTACAACATATGTTATGGAACTTAGTATTTTATAAAATTATATGTAATTTCTCTAAAACTATTTGAAGTATATGTCTATGTCAATACCGACAAAATCATGGCAAGTGGGGTATTTGTACCGAAATCCGCGCATTTTGTAATCCTCCACAGTTGGTGTTTTGATTTCTGGAAGGATACACATAAGAAAAATTTTTAATACCCCTTCTATATGAAAAAATAATAGTAATTTCATTATGTAAACATTTTTATTGAGAGAATTTATCCAATTTCAACGTCCTCCCTTCTGGTACTAGGGTACCGCTAAACTTAGCGCTGGCACTGGTCTATGCTGACAACATAACATTTAACTAAGAATTGACAAATTTAAATTGATTATCTACTAGTTAACTATACAATAGTTAACTATTTAAAAAATTATAATTAACTATACAGGGTGATTCTTTTAACACTTACAACTCAATATCTCTTAAAATAATTATTTTTTTGTAAATATATATATATATATATATATTAGTTGATAAGACTACAAGAAATAAGGGAAATTTATCATAATAGATAAATAGATTTACATATGTAATTACTAAAAAAACCTAAAAAAAATAATGTTAAGAGAAATTCTATGACTAGTGTTAAAAGAATCACTTTGTATACAATTGTTTTAGCAGAAAGTTCTTGCTTATTGTTAACTATCCTAGACGTATTTAGAAATCTTACATCCAACCTAAATCAGAAAAAACGCCTCCCTACTCTTGACTAAAATTTTCTCTGCGATAATTAAAAATATAGATATATTCTTATGACAAGACCCTTATATTTTCGTTTCTCATAACATTTAAGAATATTTGATATTTACATAAAGCCATAGTCGTCCATTGTGTATTATAAAATTTACAAAATAATCATTTTTTAATTAAAAAATAAAAAAATATATTTTTATTAAATTATAGTTTGAGTTCCAGGATTAAGAGCATCAATTTTTAGAGATTAATGATACAATGATTTGTTTTTTAGCTTTGCATCGAAGCTAAAAAACCTATCATTTGATATATTTTTTTTTATAAATTTAACCCTTTACCTGCTCACAGGGTGGGATTCAAAATAACAACTTTTTCAACTTAACTTTTTAAAATATTACGGAAATACTGACACTTTTATATATATCTTAAATTAAATATAATGTATTATACTTTATTATGGAAAAAAAAATGTTTGGACATTATTATGTCTGCACGGTGAAAAAAGTTACTAAATGCTATTTTTGTGTAAAAATTCTCGATTTTATATTTTACATTTTTTAATTTAAAATGCTATAACTTTTTGAAAAATGTATGGATCACTGCAATTTTTTATGAGAAATAATATTTATATACCTATTTCATTCGACATATATTTTTTTGGACCATTTCCCTTAATACAGGGGGTGGGTTTCAACACTTAAAAAAGCACTCGTTATTATTTTATAATCCTCTTAATAGTGCGTCCTAGTTAAAATTTTTCAGAAACATGTAATGATATGCAAATACGGAACACTCAAAATATTATATGAATTATAATTCTCTGCGTTTTCCTGAAAGTCCTGAAAAATCATTAAAATCATTACGTGCATAATATAATTTGCACAGAATAATTGTATCCGTAAAATAAGCGAAGGTTAAAAAAAATCCAGCACAAGGGGGTCCGGCATAGTATGAACGTGGCATAGTTGGGTCAAGTATGATGTCTGACAGTGATTAAAATCACTATCATAAAAAACGTTTCAATGCAAATCTGTAGATAGTGTTTAATTTTAAAAAATTGGTGGATTATTCCAAAAGCTACATGATCTATAATAATATTTATAATATATAAAGATTTTTTTCAGATTTATAAAAAAAATACATCAAATGATAGGTGAAGACATCATACATCTATAAAAAAAAATTATATTGTTCCATATATTTTTCAAAAAGTTATAGCATTATAAAGTTAAAAATATAAAAAAGTATTTTTTTACAAAAATCGTATTTTTTTTATTAACTTTGATGTCTGTTTTCACCNATAATATTTATAATATATAAAGATTTTTTTCAGATTTATAAAAAAAATACATCAAATGATAGGTGAAGACAAAATAAAGTTAGACACTTTTTTTTCTTTAATAAAGTATATTACATTAGCTTTAATTAAATAAATATATAAAAGTGTCAGACTATCAAAAATTAGGTTCAAAAAGTTCTATTTTCTATATGCCTTTTTAAGTTTTGAACCCCTCTCCTGTATTAACGGAAATGGACCGATTTAAAAAAAAAGTATGTCGAATGAAAGAGATATATAAATATCATTTCTCATAAAACATTGCAGTGATTCATACATTTTTCAGAAGGTTATAGCATTTTAAAGTAAAAAATAAAAATATAAAATCGAGAATTTTCACACAAAAATAGCATATTATGGTAGCCATTTTCACCATGAAGACAAAATAAAGTCCGAAATTTTTTTTTTCCATAATAAAGTATATTACATTAGCTTTAATTTAAGATATATATAAAAGTGTCAGTATTTCTGGAACACTTTCAAAAGTTAAATTGAAATAGTTAATTTTTTGTGAAAAAGTTGTCATTTTGAATCTCTTCCTGTGAGCAGGTTGGGATGAAAATATATCAATTTTTTTTTCTATCAAATGATAGGTATAGACATTATGCATCTATAAAAAAAAAATTATATTGTTTTGTTCATTTTTAAAAAAGTTATAGCAGTTTTAAGTAAAAAAAAATTGTAAACATTTCGAAAATTAGTGTTTTTTAAATTTGTAATTGTTTTGGAGTTTTCCCCCATTTACGGGGAACGAGGGAAATTTTTTCAATTTTTGAGGGTAATGTCTTCGACTAGATACTATTTGTGATCCTTTGACAAATCANCCCCATTTACGGGGAACGAGGGAAATTTTTTCAATTTTTGAGGGTAATGTCTTCGACTAGATACGATTTGTGATCTTTTGAAAAATCGTTGGAAAAAAGCGGTTCGATGAGAACTGAGAAAAATCATTAAAAATACAAAGTGTTCCTGTAGTAATATGCACTTTATGTGGATTTTGAGTATTAACCTAAATATCTTTGGAGTCTGTTCCCCTCGAATAACAGTTTGGCATATTTAGAGCTGTACACATATAGTGGAAAATATTTGTTCAACAACAATGTACAAATAAAAATGAAGAACACAGAATACTTGATAACCAAAGGATTGGTTGTGGTCACTAGTGCATTGCGATGGTGTCGAGGGATGATGGAGTGATAGCGCCCCCGTATAAATCGACAGAGGCAGTAGTCGCTGCGTAATTAATAATGGCTGGCGGTCGAGCGCTTGCGCAACACACCGAGTGGTCGGGTATCGACCGACAGCGTTGTCGTCGTCAAAAAAAGCTCCCTGGACCCACCCCCGCTGGCGCCGCAATATTATTTTCCATACAGTTCGTGTGTGAGTGTCAGTTCGCGCGCACAAACGGTGTGGGGGTGCAACTCCGTAAAGACACCGTTCCGTCGGGCAACGGAGCGCCTGAAACTATATCCGAATGTGGATTTCATCATCGGTGGTTGCAGCCATACCGATATTAACCGCCATTATACAATACCGACTCTAGTGTGGGTTCATATCGGCCGCGCGGTCGCCCCGAAATGGGAACCGTGCTAAGTATCAGTCCGAAGGACCGCAAATCCGTCTATCCGACCATGGCGAGCAGCGCTAGTGCGACAGAGTTCTCACTCAATAACTTCACATATGAGCAACTCAGCAAACGCCGAGACGTGACTAGCAGGAGCATATCAATGATGTTGCCGGCCAACATCAATATTAATAACAACAACAATAACGTGGAAAATAAAATGGTCGAGCGGGGAACGTTGGAGAAGAGCTTAAAGAAACACTCGGCTTTGATAAACGCGATCAGCTGGAAAAGGTTTAGTACGTCCCAAAACAAAAAGAAAATTGAAAATAACAATTGCATTAACGTTGTTGGTACCATTAAGTCTACGAAAACCATTGTCCGCCAACCGTTGGTCGACAATAACGCCAATCTAGAGAAAAACGTCCGCCGGTCGGCTACCACTACAGGATTGGACGTCATCAACAACAATGAGAAACTTGTGCCTCGGGCTACTATGGTACCGTCACATACGTGCCACAGCCTGGTTCCCCGAAAAACGGTCATCCAGGCATCCACGTCAGAACTGCTCAAGTGCCTGGGCATATATTTACACCATAAGTGTTACAAGCTCAATGATTTTCAAGCCGGTGATGCAGTCATGTGGCTGAGGACGGTTGATCGAAGTCTGTTAATACAGGGATGGCAGGTATGTCAATTACATATTATTATTATATTATATGCGCGTGAACCGTATGTTTACGGATCATAGCTTTCAGCACCCCTCCCTGTCCGTTCTCCCAATTTTACGCATCGTATTGTCACTGTCTCATTGATATTCTCGTGGCGCCACAGTCGCCGTCGTAACACTTTGCAAACTATTTACCGTCGTAGAACCCCACGACGCGCCGCCATTCCACTTGTGCGAGATGCGTGTGCCAGGCAGTGCACGTCGCGTGATTTACACGGGATATAAGTGCCATTACTATTATACTACAGACTGTTGACCCTGACGATAGTGCTCAGTAGGGACCCTTGCCCTCTTGATGGTCCGATGACGTGTACTATAACTTAGAGTAAAAACGCAATTTTCTGCACCCCATGTACGTAAAACCCTTAGGGAATATAGTAGCAAACGGGATTCTAAAATACCTTCAGTTCACCAAACCAATAAATTACTGTAAATATACATTGGTGTAAATAGTATCGGTTACTTCAGAAAATGGAAACTATTTTTCCTGTGGGGTATGTCAAATCCCAAAGGTATTTCACACAACTCATAACGGAACTATCGAAAATCATTTTTTTTTAATAATTGCTGTACGTAAGGTTTTCTTGTGAGAAAAATAAATTCATATACTTTTTTAAACTCCATGACCTTATTTAAATTTACTAAATAGTAAATTCAGGTACACTCAAATAAAATATAGGATATATATCATGCTTTTTTTTAAAAAAGATCTTAAACAATATTCAGCTATTCTAAGTAAAACAAATGTTTGATGATTAAAAAAAAAAATAATAGAACTCGTTTTCTGGATAACTTTAAATGATTTCTCCTTCCCACTAAAAATTGTTCAGCCCACTTCTGTTTGCTTAGAGATGTTTATTAATATTTTGCTTCAATTCGCAACAATTTAAGTATATCAGAATATCTAAAGAGCTTATAAAATGTTACTTTAAAATAGAAATACTTAAGAATTTCTAATAAATTAAGTGAGTCGTTATAATTATAATAATGACTTCACTCATAAATCGAACTACATAAACATGAAAATCGTGTAACTTAGCGATTTTTTTTTAATTAAGTAACTGTTTCTCGTTTCAAAAACAATCTACCTGAAAAAAATGATTTTAATCGAATATTTTTGGCAATACGATTCAAAGTTTAATCTAGCTCATATTTGCAAAATATGTAGAATGAACATCAAAAAATAATTCGAATTTATGTTAATAAATACACGTTTAATTTTTTTTTTGTAATTTTTGTAAATTCAGAAAAAAAATAAAAATAAATGTTTATTCTTAAAATTAAAATCTTTATTTTTAGTTATATTATCTAGCCCTACTTAATTTTATTAAAATAAATTTTATATTTTTCATAAACAATTTATTAATGTATAATAGATTATGACAAACAATTTTTCTCTGTACTTTCAGGATGTACCATTCATAAATCCAGCCAACGTTGTGTTTGTATACATGTTGGTCAGGGAGTTGGTTGACGAACGAGTAGTCAACGAGCAAGAACTACAAGCGGTCGTGCTCACGTGCCTGTATCTGTCCTACTCGTATATGGGTAATGAAATATCGTATCCGCTCAAACCGTTCTTGGTGGAGGATAGCCGCGACGCGTTCTGGAACAGGTGCCTGAACATTGTCCGTACCATGTCGGCCAAAATGTTACGCATCAACGCGGAACCGGCGTATTTCACCGAAATCTTCTCCGAGCTCAAATCGTGCGGCACCCTCAGCATTGTGTTGCAGACAGCATGATGAGCTGCCAAATTAAAAATTTTATTCTAAAAGTGTAACATAAATTTATGTACATTAAATTACATTAACGACATGCACAAATCAAGCCGGAACTCTTTTGCAAAACACTGTCGCAGAAGTTCTAATTTATTGGTAATCCTATATAGTGATGCATTTATAGATTACAGAGGGCAATGCTCCAAGGTTTCCATAATCAATAGAACTGTCTGTTCACATTTATTGGAGTTTCATAAAAACACCCCGAGAAAAATAACCCTCCGCCCTCGTGTTATTAAACAAACTGTACACCGAGGGTAGCGGCTGTCATGGAGTTGGGCTAGAAGAGGGTCACTATAAACGAAGGGTGTTATTTTATTCTAAGGGCAATGCATCGAAGTTAAAACGCACAACGTCTTCGTTGAAAACAAAACGAAAAATAATCATCAGTCTTCGACAGAGTTTCGCAAAAGGAATTCCATACATTCAAAACTCATTAAAACGAACAACTTGTATGGAGCAAGATATCCATCAGCCTGTGAGTGTTATGGAAATATTTTACTGGCGTACACTCCAAGAAATACTCCATTGGCGCAATTAATAATCTTATAGTAGACTTCCAGATCTTTTTTTACCGGACAAATGTCGTTATTATATTTTTAATGTTAAAAAAATTACAATTTGTGAACAACAGTGATTTTCAAATTGGCACATATGCGGGTAAACCATGTAAATATTCTAGAATCAAATATATATTTATGATATAACCCTAAGCACGCATAATGAGAAATACATTATTATTTTCGTTTTTAATTCGATTTGTTTTAAACATAATCATGTTTTCGAGGCGATTTTATTTATTTTATTTCTTGATAGTTCAAACGTTAATAACTGGCTTTCCTATGGGACCTTTTACTGCGTTTGAAGTATCGTAAGGCACGGGTTCAAAATTCCTCCAATTTTAAAAGAAAGAAAAAAGTTTTGATTATTATTATTAAAAAAAATTATATTTATAATAAGATAATGTTTTTTATGTAATAATTGTAGATATAAAGAGGTTAAGTAATGGAAATTGAGAGCATGTATTAAAGTTTTCATAATAACTAGTTAAATAAAATTATAAAAAAAAAGTATTTTTGAAAAAAGTATCGTTTCTCTTTAGAAAAAAATTTTAATTATTCTAAATGATATATTAAGTAATAATTCTATTCCATACGGACATTCCATTAACTTAATGGCACGTTTTGAATTGTTTCAGAATGCGTCCCGTGATATTTCAATTTTTTTTGCCTTCATAAATGAACTAATAAATATTGTTAGTAAATTAAATTCCCTCTCAAAAGACTGAAAAATTGATAATTTATTTTTCCTTGATATTTTTACCCTCTTAATAGTGAATTATTGTATTTGTTTATAATACCTTCGTTTAAATAAATATAATGATAATTATAGACGGTAATTATTTTATATTAATAATGTACACGCATAAGTGTATGTAATATTAAATTAAATTTAATTTTAAGGCTGGGATGTTGCAATTCCTTAGGCTATAAGGACATCACATAAATGTTAAATTACTGTAAACTTATTAGATGTTTATACTTATTTTTTTTACAGATAAGCTCTTAGTTTTAAGTATGATGAATAAATCGTTACCGTGACATATGTGGCCATTTTAGTATACAGTGCAATTGTTTCCCGTTCAGTTGCGCCAGGTCACATCTCCGTATGGAGTCGGTGATTGAGCGTTTGCTGTAGTGGGAGAGTTACTTGAAATTTAGTTTTAGAATTCTTTGAACTTTATTGTTTCAATTTGATTTTTGTTTAAACATTTTAAACGTTATTTCTAACGCGGTCACGTGGTTTTGAGTGAAACGTGGTGGCCGGAAGTGCGAGTGTCGTCTCTAGTCAGTCGTGGTCGTGATTTCGATTGTAGTTTCCTCATGAGAAACCTTCCAAATCCGACGCGGCCTTTTAGCCTTAAGTTATAGTTTTAAGTCGATATTATTAAGTTTAATTTTAAGATTTAGACTCTAATGTATGTCTTTTATAAGATACTGATTCCATTAAAGTTCTCATTTCCATTCACCACGATAAAATGTCGCGTTACACTCTCTTCTGCTCCCACATATTTCAATGTTAAACACCGTCCAAAAACTCTATCAACAAAGTTCTATATTTGCAACGAAAAACATTTATTACTTTTCATAATGTCACATGAACACAGATTTAAACCGTATTTAAATTAGTGTGCAATTAATTTTTAGTTGTACGTATTTATAATATGTATATAATTGTAAGTCATTATTTAATATGTATTGATTGGGGGGAAATGGTAGTCCTGGCGTTGGTTAATGGTCATATTAAAATATTGCATAATACATAATGCATTACATCAGGACAATCATTTTTCACCCGGGTTTTGGTCGTTTTAATTTTTGTTTTTGTTAAATGTATTTTAATTTAAAATTACTTTTTATTTATGTTGTTGTTTTTTTTTTTAAGAAAAAAACATAAGAGGCAAGCTTCAAATGATCTCATGTTTTAGCTTTTCATGACGACCACATTGGGAATGTCGTCGTTTAGTTTTTGTCCCCGGGATGATCCGAAAAGGATTTCCCTTTCTCGCGGCATGTACTTAACCAATTATAATTCATATTCTTTATACATTCATATTATTATTATTATGATGATTATATTATGTTATGGTATTAGCTTAGCTGGGCTTTACCCGATCGTGTGCAATTTAAATTTAAAATAACAAAAAAATTCATTAGACAATACTTAAATAACGAATATTATAATGTTCGTGTAGGTTTTTCTGTTTATTTATTTTAAAATTATTTGAAATCTGATATAAATAAATTGCATAAATATAATGTGTTATATTTTTATCAAAATTAACGTTACATAAATTTGAAAGTATAAGCATTTGTGTACTCTTGTCTTGTATTAAAAAATACTTAATGTGTTTTGTGTCTTTATACAAATATTGTTATTAGGCTTACGATCATAAAATAATTGTATGTTTGTGATTCTAGTCATTAATTAATTTAATTATTTTTCAATGTTTCATTTTTTGTTATTAAACAAATTTGTGTTAAGTGATAATTTTGAGATCTGTTTTTCATTTTAAATGACCTTATGTTCATTATATTTTAATTAATTAACCATTAATACTTTACTTATACAATGAAATACCTATGACTGGTTTGGTTAAAAGTTAGTTTTTCGGTGTTAACGTGTTTGTTTCTACATAAAACTCACTTAATCAAAATACAAGCTTACGTGAATTATCTAGAAATGCTATTCAAAAAAATTCGCTATACAATAATAAATTTTTGTCGTATGATAAAAGTACATTCTTATAATTAAAGGGTAACAAAATTCAAAATTTTGGTTTTATATCATGTCTTATGTCAATTATTTAAAAAAATCTATTGATAGCATAAAAAAAAAAAATTAATATATCAATACAATAATATGTTAAAAATTTTACAATATATATTTAATTTTTAATACATTTTTTACGTTATACCTCCTATGTTCTTTTAAAATAAGAATATAATTTTAAGTATATTTGTGGAAACTAGTAAAAACAATATTTCTTCAACCACACATCTTAGTACTAAACTATTTGTATAAACTTGTTTTATGTCTTTTAACCAGTGTTGGAAATAAATAAACAAAAATTCATCTAGATTAGATATAGATATTCGAATAAAAGGCCATCTAGATGAGATAAAGATATTTTGATATATAACTATTGAAATTAAAGATAAAATAATTTATCTTTTATCTATATAAAATGTAGATAAATTCCTTTTTTCATTTATTAATAATATTCTTAACGTTTTTCCTCCCTTCCATTCTTACTTTCTCTTAAAAAAGCTATCTCTAAAATGTATCGTCAGAAACAATTTTTCCTTATAATAAACTTGATATTTACTCATTATTATCTTGTTAGTTTCTATTCATTTTATTTTGGGTCGGTTCTACCTTATTTATTTGACAAGATTTTTACACCAAATGTCTACCTGTCGCTACTTCTTTATGGTCGAGGGAACCAGTAAGAGGTAAGGTGTGTGTCAATATTATAGTTCCTGATAGTAACCCATCTAGTAAATAACATCAAATAGTACTAACATTGTAAGATAGGGACTGAATGATCCACTGCGCCACTCTACATCCCAAACTTGATATTTACTATAATTTTTAAAAATAAATCAAATTATAGTGGGCATAAAAACCAAAAATTATACATTTTTTGGCAAAAACGATTGATCTTAAAATATTTTGTATAACTAGGAAACATCTTCATCATTAGATAGAATTTTCGGTTTTTTGTATACTACAGATTCGAAAAAAAAGACATTCCGACCACTTGTCCTCTACAAGTAATCGGTCTTTTAAGTAAAAAATCATGTAATTTTTGATAAATATAATACATTTTTTTTTAGTTTGATGCATATTTGAACATCATAGCATTTTATAATAGTGATTTTAATCATTGTCAGATATCAATCTATACTAATCTAAAAAAACACCATACGCTGGATCCCGACTATATAATATACTATATTATAGTCATATTATGACCTTTTAAACTTAGGTAATGTTTTTTAAACTCGTATTGATATAATGTCAATATTATTTTTTTCATAAAAATACACCGCTTAGTTCTATAGAAGAATGTCCTTTATAGGGACTTTACATCAGTTGATAATATAAAAAATGAAAAAAAAAACCTCCGTTTCCTTACCNAAAAATACACCGCTTAGTTCTATAGAAGAATGTCCTTTATAGGGACTTTACATCAGTTGATAATATAAAAAATGAAAAAAAAACCTCCGTTTCCTTACTTTGTATCACTCAATAGGATATTATACAAAGAAGCCCATGATGTATTTTTGGTCATCACTTTATTGAAAAATGACAGGAACATAAATTAAAATTACACAAGATTTAGTTAGAAGTTAGTACAAGATATTTGCGTTTTATGGTTTTATCTTAATGTCTTTTTCTTCTTTTTACTGGCCTCCATCCTAACTAATTGATGTCAGCCACCCTTATCCTATACTTCACTTAACACGATCTCCCACATCAACCAACCTCATATCGCATTCAATATCATCCCTCTATCTCTTTTTGGTCATCTTCTACATTTTCTTTCCTTTAAATTCATTTCCACAACTGTTCTTATAATTTTTCTTACGGTTTTATCATAATGTGTTTTGTGAAATTATACAAAATACGATAAATAAATTTTTGGGTAAGATCAATACATTTTAAGTACTGTAAAAAGTACTCGTAAATTAATATTTCTAAATTAATTTAGCTAAGATAAAATACAATATTATTTTTATCTAGATTTTTCCAACACTTTAAATTAAATTATTTTCATTTAATTAATACGATATTTGATTACAATGACAAAACAATCTGAAACATTAAACGGCTATAATAAAAAATAATAGAATATAAAGTAAATTCTTAAGTTATAAAAAAAAGGTTGGTGTTCATAACTACCCCCGCCCCCAAAAAAAAATTCAATATAAAATTGTTTTTTTATACATGTTTGTCATAAAAGTTATCAAATATATAACTTCTTTATAATTTTTTATAAAAATTATTATACAAAATTATTAAATATCAATTACATACTAAATTTAATCACTTTAATAACTATTAATAAAAATATTATCCTTATAAATTATAAAACTTATCGGGGTATAAACAAGGAAAGAGGAGTTCATTTTAATTTTTTTAAATTAAATACTATTTACATAAAAACTTTTATTAGGATAATGATTTTAATCCCTATCAAATATGTTTAGACATTAATAAACATTATTCTGAAATCTAAAAATGTTTTTTATGTACTAGTAAAATGATCTATAATTATGGAAAATATTTACTTGTAAAAAAAACAATTGAGAGCGCTTTTATATATTTTTTTGTGTACTAGTATTATACTGCTCATGTATCCATAACATACACCAATAAAAAATTTAAGTAACGACCTTACGAAATGTATTAATAATTATTACTTAAATCAACTTTTGAAAGTAATAAAGGAAAATAAGTATTAATAAACAGAATGACAAAATAGTTAAATTTAAGTTTTAAAAAAAATTCCAAGTCAATTTTGTTTAAAAATTAACTAAACATGAATGTAATTGTAAATCATAAAATTTAGGTGCTAATACCTACCGGTATTATAATTTAAATATTTAAAAATTAAAAGCAAAACATCAAATTTTGTTATTTGAGATGAAAATAAAAATAACATTAAGAATGCTATTTAGAAGAGAATGAAATTATAATGACATAGAGCAAAATGAAATTTAAAGTTATTGTTTTCTATTTTATATGATGTAATGAAAATATTTCAATAAAAGTTTAAAAAAAAATTTATATAAATTGTTTTGTACTTTGTATATAAATCAACAAAAATAGCAATAAATGAACAAATAACTTCATTCATAGTTAGAGATTTTATAAAAGTTGTAATTTAAAAAAAATTGTCTCCTTAACCCCATTTAAAATTATAAAATTAAAAAAAATTTTAATTCAGCTAACTTAATAATTAATAATTTGACTTTTTAAATAATTAATAACCTTTAAGTTAAAGCAATTTGTGATCAGTTTTTTTTTTAATTCTGGTCCACTTTGTAGTGGCGCTGATGTCAAATTTTACATAAATTACATAATAAAAATATTTTACTAGTTTATACCACTTCCAAATGTTTTATAACCATTTATTTTTTTGTATGTTTATTATGATTAATGATTATTAATTATTTAATCGTAATACATGACTATAAAGATCAGCGACACTACTTTCGATGACAATTTTTTTTATATTTTCCTATAATAGTATCAACATATTGTTTAATTTTTTCTTAGAGAGTAATTCCTGCGAAAAATTCAGTTTTGTGTTAATGAGTTTTATTTTAAAAAGAACATCTAAATAATGTAAGGTATAAATAGATAAAGTCATGTATTTAAGGTCAATAAAATTTGATATTTACCTGCATTACCTTCGGTACAAAGACCATCTCATTTAGAGGATTTGTTTATAATTGGAACTTTCCATGTTTTGTACTTGTTGCGTTTTATAAGAACTATTATAAATATTATTTTGAAATACTATTGTCGAATTTGTGTCAATATTTTCGTAACATAATGCACGTACTGTGAAGTTCACAGTATGAACTTCACTTTCATAATTCGCTTTTAAAATGTAATTTTGATTACTATTACAAATAACTTATAATTAAATATTTTTATTTCTTCTTTTTGTATTACAGCTACCAAGGTCAAAGAAGAAATAGGAATCGGCATAGATATACTTTTATACTAAGTGAATAAGAGTTGTAAGTTATTCATTTTAAAACACTAAATGAGTTTACTAACAAAATAAAAGCTCCATGTATCATGTTTGATAATATAAGATTGCATTAGAAAATCGAAAATTAGTTTTTCAACTTTGTAATGAACTAAACTAACATTTAACAATAAACAGCTTAAACTAAACTTACTTACCAAATTGTATATATCTTGAAAAACCATAATATTAATGTATATTATATTATGCAATACCAAGATGAAATATGGTTACCTTTGGTTTCTATCAAAATAATCATTGTGATAAAATTTCTAGTATATCTAAATTATAAAAAGCACCTGTTTAAAATTGCATTTATTTGCATATTTTACCTAATGTACATTTTATAGAACATTGTCACATAGATGATATTAGGTATGTGCACATTCTAATAGAGAAGTTAATGAGAATTATATTATCAGAGCTGTATGTCTGTATAGGGGTTTACAGATAATTCATCTCTAAAAATAAAATTCCCATAAACTTGTACACCAAAATAAGTTAGATTATTTTGAAGAAAATTATTTTAATTTCTCACTCAAGAATAAAATTATTAATAAAACAAATAAACTTAATTTGATAAAATTAAGATAGATTAAAAATTACTTTATAAAACGTACCTGTTTGATATACTTTATAATTGATTATGATAATAAAACAATTCTGGTATTAATAATTAATTTAAAATTCAATTTAGAAAGTCAAAATTCATTCATAAAAATTTATATCTTACCATGTTGACGACTGTGGTTGAGTGGTAAAGATTTGATTCGTGGTATCCATAGAAAAAATAATAAGAAAGTGAAGAAAACTGTTACATATGAATTTAGCATGATAATATTCTTATTGATGAGTCTAAGAGACATAATAACGTCTAAGAAGAACGATGTTTGTGCTGGTAAACGGTAATCTATATCCGAACAACACCGCGGCCAAATGATGAATGATTGCGCGTACCCACAATCACATAATTGACTATTTATATACTTTGAGGACTATGCGATGTGTAAATATTGTATGTATACATATGTATGGTAATGATGACGTATCGCACTTAAAAAAATAATAATACCAAGGCAGACGACCCAATAAAAAATGTGTAAAATGTTGATATATTCGTCTGCAGTGTCAATACAACCATGCGTTTTCCTCGTGCATGTTTTGTTTATTTTTGTTCGTTTTTAGACTGATAAGGTGAGAAACTGTGTCGCCATTGGGGAAATTGACCCAATTGTGCATCATGCGTTGCATAACATACCCATGCGTTTTTCTATTTACAAATACAAATAATGTTGTGATACTGATACTGATTCACAAGAACGAGGACACTACTTGTGTCCCTGTACCTGCGTGATAATATCACGTCACTCTTACTGACATTTCCAAGAGTCGGTCATGGATTTTCTTGTACTGATTATGAGTATAGTAAAATATTTGTATCATAAGTGTTTCTCTATGTAGTGCGTATTCGGAGATAAACTAAGTAGATCGTAGCCTAGGGGAGGCTTTTTTATGGGGCAGAATTTTTGAAAGGTAGCTTTTTTGGTATTACGATTTAAAAACTATTATTTAATTTATTTAAAAAATTTTGTTCAAGGTTTTCCAAGTAAACATAATAATTTAAAATAACTTTTCCCGTATTCATAGAAAATATTGTATATATAGTCTTGAAAAAATTATTGATATCTAATAATATTATTTATGTATAGTATATTAAATATCAATTAGAAAAATTAGTGAACATTTAAGAAATACTGGATAATAATCAATGGGATGAGCGGCAGTATAGAGGTGCCAAAGAGCTAAATACGCCATGGCGTATTTCAGAGAATAGGACATAAAATCAATAGCGCGTCACTGATTTTGTGAAACTTTCTATATTTGAAAATATAATCGAATTTTTATTTTTAGTTATTATGTCTTATAATATCTTGAATTAGGACTAGATTACTTTAAAGCTATAAAATGAATATTACATGATATATAAACTTATATAACATTTTTTTAATTAAAAATTTATTTCTATATCATACATGTACACTGCATGGCAAAAACATAAAAGCACAGTATTTATATATATTTTTGAAAATATTAGGATTTAAAATACTATATCTGTGACGTTTCCTTCATTGCAATAATATTTCAAATAAATACAAATAAATTACCATATAAGAAATTTTATTCAAAAGAAATTTTAATATCGGTTGTAAAAACTGTAATATTTTATAATAATTAAAGAAATTAATATTCCTAAAAAATATAAGAATATGAGAAGAAGAGTCTTGTGCTCTTGTTGTTTCTAAAATGTTTCTGTACTTTACCGTATCCTTATATTTAATGCTATGAAAACTATAACAGTTGGGTTGGGTTGAGACAGTACTGTACCATGTTGGTGGAGGTGAAGTTTATTTTGGCGGTCAAACCCAAGAGGTCGTAGAAAAGTTCGAGAAAATACTTATAAGTACGTGTGACTTCTCATTGATGAAAAGGAAAGGCCCTCCACGTAGTAAGCCGCTAGTGTATTGGTGAACCAGCGATATTGCACAGTTTGCTCGAATTATTTCTGCATCACTCAGGAGTTACTCGTAGGGTTGGACCAAAACCCCCTCGCTGGGAGGTCATTACGTTTTTTACTGAAGATGAAGTGGAAAGTGCGATCAGCAGGATGAGGAAACGGAAGTAGGCGTCTGGACTAGATAATTTTAATAGTAGTATTGTGACTCCGTTACATACTGTTGACCCTGGCAAGGTATGTAGCCTGTTTCAACCGTTGTTTGGGAGCTAGGTATTTCCCAGTGCAGTGGAAAGCTGCGCGAGTAGTGCTGCTAAGAAAAGATGGGAAGATGGCAGATGTTTCTTCGTCGTATATGCGGGTAAATTTTTTTATCTGTAGGAGTTTACCCCTAAAGCTGGATTTTCATATCCCTATTCCAGAATTCTAGTTGACACAGGTTGGAGACTTCAGCAGTGGTGCGGCTTTGAACCCGGATGGGTTCTAGGCCAATATCATAACAGAGAGATGTTCGCGTCGGCCACGACCAGTTGGGTTTGGGTTTGGGTTCTGGAAGTTCACGCCGTCAGTTAAGCGTGCCAGATTCATGGTGTCGGACTCGTTTGGGCTTGGATTCAATGTTTGAGGGACACGTGGGGATGCACTATTCCGTCATGTGCGCATGACCTTTAATTTAGGCAGACGTTCGCTCTCTGATCCCAGCTTTAGTCTTCCGAATAGGAAGACCGAATTTGGACTCCTGGCCAGAGTGGTACACCTTAAATTACATCTAAAGAGCAGTTTTGGTGTTGGGCCTCTGCGAACACACTCTAGGAAAGGTTCCTGGTATACTGGGTGGGGAAGGCCTGCGGCGTCACTTGTTATAACCGTAAGCAGGTCGCGCTGCCCCCTTTCTTGTTATGATAGGTAAATAGCCTTCAGTGCAGACTCCGGAAATGGTTAGTAGACCCAAGACTCCCCGCACCTTTTCTTCTGATGGCCGGGGGGGCGAATTGGCCCCCCCAGACGGCAAGGAGTATTTATGACTGTTTTAAGGTCTATCCCAACTATTTGAAGTCGGCTCTACCTTATATGATTTCACAGGAATTGATTTAGATATTAGTAATTTTTAATTATCGTTTATCAAATGTACTTATGGAAATCCAACCAGAGAAGGGATTAAAATCTGAACATACTTAATACTCATAGATTTTATCCAAAAAACAACTAAAAAGCCTAGTCTTCAACTTTAACACTACAAATTACTCACAAGTATTACCTAAATATTATAGTTAAATAACTATAATAATAAATAAAACAAAGATTAATCACATGAATTATTTTAAATAAGAATGCTACATTTTAAAAAATAATATCAAAATGTTTAAACAAAGTTTTTAGGTCTATTATTAGGCCAGTCAACGAAGGAGTAATTTTGGCGAATAGCGGAAAAAAATTCACAACAAAATTTTTTTTTTTAAATTAAGATATCTATAATGACATACTAAAAGTCCTCATTCATTGGAATTGAGCTTATTTTTACAGCCTTGCAAAAGTTCAAAAATATGAGCTTTTTTAATTTTCTCAAAAAATATTTAACTTACAAAAAAAAGTTTCGTACAAAAGTTGTTTAAAAGACAATTTTAAACAAAAAAGGTAATTTTATTTTTTCATTTAAATAAATATTTTTCAAGTTACATTACATTTAATATGAGTACTAAAATTTATTTTTCATTTTACGGTTACTTTTTAATCTTCAATCTTTATTTCTATTGAATTTGTAAGCCATTGACCTTAGCGATGTTCACATATAATAGATCATTTAAGCCCTGTTTTTCGGCAGCCACAATTTCTACCAGCTCCAGCACCTGACATAATATAAATGTTGTTTGGGAACGTACAATTTAGCGTTTGGTTTAGTTTAAACAATGTAGCGTCAAATCAATTACCTACTCTATCGGTTGTATTTTAATATACACTACACTTTAATGATACTATAAATAAATAAACTCATACATACACACATATGCATTTATAACATTGTGTCTAATGTAAGTATAACGTGATTTAATTTTAATTAAAAAAACCAAAAAATTGCTACAATAAAAACTCATTCTACATATATACAAAACATGTTTTTATTTATAATCACAACATATTTGACAAAATATACTTTATTGATTAAGATGGAATTATATATTTATTAGTTTGTTATCACCTTTTTACAATAAGGTGTCTCTTATTTTGATAATCTTTGAAAACCATTGTTTTTAGCTTCGATGCGAAGCTGAGAAGGTATTAATTTTACCATGATGTGTTTTTTTTTTTTT